TAAAAAAAAAAAAAAAAAAGGTCAAACTTTTCAGTCATAGGAATAGTCAAAGACTATGAGCCCCAGTTACATGAAAAATAGAAGAATCAACATATTGGATCATATCAAAGTAAAAAGTTTCTGTACAGTAAAGGAAACAAGCAACTGAGTGAAAAGATATCCTAAAAAATGGGAAAAAATTCTCCTAGCTACTTAGACAGAAGACTGACATCTAAAATATATAAGGAACTCAAAAAATTAAACTCCTGAAAAAAAATGGGCAACTGAAATGAACTGACACCTCACAGCAGTAGTACACACGGCCAAGAAATATACGCAAAAATGTTCAACATCATTGACCGTTACAGAAATGCAAATTAAAACAACCCTGAGATACCATCTACTCCAGAAAGAATGGTATCATCAAGAAATCAAATACTGGGCCGGGGATTTAGCTCAGTGGTTCTGCTGCCTGCCTGGCAAGCACAAGGACCTGAGTTCGATCCCCAGTTCCCGGAAAAAAAAGAAAAAAAGAAAAAGAAATCAAATACTAACAAATGCTGGCAAGGCTGCAGGGAAAAAGAAACCTTTCTATATTGTTGGTAGGAATATAAACTAGTACAACCACCATGGAGACCTGTATGGAGAGTGCTTAAAAAACTAAAAATATAAATTCCATTTAACCCAGGTATTCCCTTCTAGGTATCTTCCTCAAAGAGTTAAAAAGTCATCATACTACAGGGCTACATGTAAACTCATGTTCACAGCAGTACTGTTCATAACAGTTAAATCTTGGAAGCTGCCTATATACTCATCAAAAGATGAATGAATAAAGAAAATGTGGTATTTACACACAAGAGTACTACACTCTGCCATAAAAAAGGATAAACTTGAAACATCTATAAGAAAATGGATGTACCTTGAGACAATGTTAAGTGGAATAAATCAGATACAAAAATTTAAATATGACATAGTTTCTCTTATGTGAGAAACTCAAATTATAAGTAAAGAGAAAAATAAAAGATAAATAAGGGCCAGGGATTTAGCTCAGTGGCACCACATCTGCCTTGCAAGTACAAGGTCCAGAGTTCAATCCCCAGTACAAAAAACAAAACAAAACAAAACAAAAAACAAAATGGTTGGGGATTTAGCTCAGTGGCACTGTGCCTGCCTCTCAAGTGCAAGGTCCTGAGTTCGATCCCCAGTACCAAAAAAAGGATAAATAATAGGAAGTAAGGAGATCTTTTTCAAATGAGAAGGAAAACAGAAGATGGAGGGAGGGGGAGAGAGGAAGAGATTAAAAAAGAGGGAATTGAAGAAAAAAATGCAAGATAGTTTTTACAAAGGTAAAGGGTAAAAGAACTGGAGGAGGTAAAAAGAATGGGCGCGGAAGAGGACCAAAAAATATTTAAGATATGTATGTACATGTACAAACTCCCCAAGATAAATGTAATCATTACATACTGCAAATATGTACTGATTAAAAAAAAAGTTTAAGTTCCAACACAACCTGGGCTATGTAATGAGACACTATCTTTAAAAAAAAAATTCATTGCTTTGGTTTTGTTCAGAAACATAAAAATGCATATTTAATTTTTGACATTTAAATACAAAAACCATTTTCTATTTGTGCATTATTTATCAAATATATCTTTTTTTGGTCTACTGTTAACCCAATGGTTCTGTTTAGAAAACCCTCAATGGTATGGGAAAAAAAGAGAAAACACCAGCTTGGAGAAATGACAGGGACTCAACAGATCATTTAGGCCTATTGCTTCATTTTACACATGCCAAACCTGAAAGAAAGACATTGAGTAACTTATTTGAAAATTACATGACTAATAGCATTTATGATATATAAGATATATGTGGAGACTTGTTACAGTTATAGTATTTAAGGTCACTATAGGTTTGTACATACCACAAGATATATACTGAATTTTGTTCCTAAAAATACTAGATATGAGTCTTATGGTATTGGATTTTAAGATTATGAGGTTTCTTTTTTGGGGGGGGAACACAAAATTAGATCTCTATTCTTACTTGGAAAGAGTAGAAAAAGCATCAGTTTTTAGAATATGAATGCCAGTTTCGTTATGGCTTGTGTTCAGATATCTCCCCAAAGGCTCATGTGGTCATAGGTGGGGCTTTGTCTAGAACTCATTCATAATGCAATGCTAGGATCAAGGGGACTAGGATTAAGGGTCTTTGTCTAGAACTCATTCATAATGCAATGCTAGGATCAAGGGGACTAGGATTAAGGGTATGAGTGCTACCCACCTTAGGTAGTCTGCTTAAGATAAAAGGGGCAGAGAGACACTGCTGAGGTCCACTGCCATGAACTGTTGAACCAAGTGCCATCCCGCTTTGGAGCCAGCCAATTATGGGCTGTAATCTCTACAAACTGTGAGCTTTAACTTTGGGTGTCAGGAATTTTGTCTCAGCAATGAGAAAAGTAACTAAGACAGTTCCCAACACTTAGTTATTCACTGGGGTTTGAATACAATTTGAGTGTGTCCCCCCAACATTTCATGCTGGAAGCTTGGGCTCCACTATAATAGTATTGAGAGGTAGTTTTAACCTTTAAGATGTGAAACCCTATGGCTGTTGGGTTAGGGGAACACTATCCTAGGAAACAACTAACGTTAGTCTTAGGAGTGAGTGAGTTTCCCAAGAGGGGGTTTTTATAAAGCTGACCCATTATGCTCCCTTCAGCAGCACATATAATAAAAGTCAACCCATGTGCTTGGTCCCAGCCGTACCCAGCAATTTCCCTTTCTTTTTTCTGCCATGGGGCCCCTCACCAGAGGCCAAATAGGGCCTCTTGATCTTGTACTTACAGCCTCTAGAATCATAAATCAGGTAACCCTTTTTTCTTTATGAAGTATCCACATCAGGCATTGTTATAATACAAAATAGACAAAGACAGCTACGTACTGACAATTGTCACTGTTTTCTCATCAGTAAGAGGAGATACTACAATACCCAGGGTGTGAAAAATGATAGGAACACTAAACATACACCCCACTTACAGAAGTCCTTTTCTTTTGATTAAATACAGAAAGTTGTTCCTTGATACTTTTTCATTATAAAATTAATGAAGCCAAATCAACCAAAATGATTTATAGTCCCCTTTATGACTCAGTGATGTATAGTTATGAATACCACATCAATTTCTGAGGCCTAAAAAAAATTACATCAAAAGTTTTAATCATTTTATAATATGAAATATAATTTGATGATTCTAAAACTTCTTAATTAGGATATTATAACTGACCATTTTTTGTGTTTAAAAAGAACATTCTTAAAACTACTTACATCTGGTTGAATAGCTTTAAATACTGGGACATCCATTAGTGTTATCTGACCCTGAAATAAAAAAGTGAAAAAAATGACAATTTCTTTTCTGGAACTCTGTGATATGTGATATATTCTAAACAAAAATTAGGGGCTGGGGATAAAGCTCAGTAGGCAAGTACTTGCTTAGTATATGATCCCCAGCACTGCAAAAAACAAACAAAAAAATATTGTATCCGAAAATATTACTGAATAATCAAATTTATAAAGCCTTATAGAAAACTTTAAAAATTAGTCCTAGTACCATTAAATATACTTATTTATTATTATTTTATACCTATTTGTAAGAATTTATGAAAAATGAGGTAAAATTAGAAAACAAAAAATAAAAAACTTGGACAAAGTGGCACACAATAAATCAAAAACAAAACCAGATTGTCCAAAAAGCAGTGTCCATGTTATAAAGATTAAATTACTGCTCCTCAAATTGTAAAATAAAATCTATTATCAAGAAAAGATGTTTTCTTCTAAATTCACAAAAAGTAATGAGATTATAGCCAGGAGTGGTGGTGCACACCCGTAATCCCTAGCTAACTCAGGAAGCAGGAGCAGAAGGATCACAAATTCAAGGGCAGATCAAGCAACTTGAGACCTGGTCTCAAAACTGAAATTTTAAAAATGAGCAGCAGCACAGTGCTTGCCTACACTACAGAGTGCTGGGCTCCACCCCTGTACCACGAACACCAAAAAGTAGTGAGACGATATTAATGTAACACATTATGACTTTACATGCTATGGGCCTATCTCACTTATAGCTGTAGATATAAAACAAATATATGGAACAATTATATGACCAAGTATAATTTACTCCTTGAATGCAAGAATGGTTCCGCATCTGAAAATCAATTTATTCTATTAACAAATTAAAGAAAAATGAGAGCATAAATTAACACTCATGTCAGTTAAGAAATAAAAAGATTTTCTAAATACTCTTCATGATATTCTAATGATTCTATTTTCTGGTTTATTTTCAATTTTTAACAAAAAGAATAAAAATACTTCTCAGATATGTCAATAAAGTAGTATAGACTAATGAAAGTACTTACTATTACCAAATTGAAGATTTAACTTATAAAGCTACCCTCCAAAATTCTTACCCTACAATAATTCTTATATACCTAACCCTTTTTTATGCCATATAAATATGCGTTTTTTGAACCATCTTCTCTGCTATAAAAATCTAATTCAACTGCAACAATATGTAAATTATGTGCAAAATCTGAAGAAGGAAAAGGCAGGAAGCTTACCGCATATTCTTCCGGTGTAACCTTAAGAACATCAAACACCACCGCATCGAAGCTTTTCTTCAGTTCAGAACCTTTGTCACTTAATGATTCTGAGCTGCTACTTTTCTGTTAATTGAAAGAAAATGCAGCTATTTTAGTACTGTCTCACAGTCAATGTCACAGAAACTAGACACGCAATGTCTGGAAACTACAAACAGAGGAAGCAAAGAACAGTAGAGGAGAGACTGTAGAAAGGTGAGACCTGCTTCTTCACTGGAAGAGCATGAAAGGGTCAGACAATCTGAAATCTGACCTCAGGTTTAGAGTTCAGGCTCCTGAGTAAGTCATTTTATTGTGTTTATTTTTTTCATCCATATATTCTATCATTTCCTACAGAAATAAAACTCTCTGAATGATTCTTAAGTACAGTAAAAGAAAGTAAGGAAACATATCCATCCATGATTGTGTCACTTTAAAGATACAGATAAGCTCTGAGAAATATATTTAAACAATTATGTTACCATGTAAACATCACAGAGTACACTTAGACAAACTGTAGTAGCTACATCACTAGGAGATATAAGCTAGGAGATATATCACTAGGAGATATAATAGGTCTTGATTCTCATTTTTCCCCTTGTCCCTGCCCTCCCTTCACCCCCTCCTCCCCTCCCCATTTACAAACAGTAAGTTTTTAACTAATTTTTATTTTTTTTAAAGTTACTTTTGTAACATAAACCTAAGAGAACATTTAGAACTCCACTAATTAGTCATATAATCCACTCTTATTTATTAAGTGATTTTGTCTTTGAAGTCCAGTTGATACTGCTGTTCTTATACAATACAAATTTGTATGTTTTCCACTTTAAGTTTGAATATGCTGCTGCTACTAACAGAGTAAAAGGTAGTGTAGGGCCCTAAAAATCTTTTTCCTATTAAATTTCCACTTCATCTATGCCATGATATAAAAATACATCCTGCATCAACAGAATTCAGAGGATCATCAGTACAAGAACACTTAGAATAGTCTATTCAATGGTGCTAGGATATTAGGGTATAATAAACAGCACAACCAACCAAAGTTTCAATTATGAAAGCATACACCTGTCATCAGCTATTACATCACATTTCAGCTTTTATCATTATGTCTCACTTTTATATTACCCCCCCTTTTTAGGGGGGTACTGGGGATTGAACTTGGGGCCTTGTAATTGTGAGGCAAGTGACAGCACCACTGAGCTAAATCCTTGGCTTTCAGAATGTTTAGCTTTTTTCCTATAGTGATGACTGGAGTAAGAAATTCCAAGTTCTTTACAAACTGAAGCAGAAAATCACAAGTCCCCCAAATAAGCATACTTTATTGCACGTGTTTAATCTCTACAACCGTGACTCATTTACAGTAAGTCAACAATATTTTATATAGTGCCAATACAGAAACTTACTTATGTTTAGTATTCAAACAGATACTAGTTAAAAAGCATACACTAATACACTAACTGTCCATCACACACAGTGGACCCTGGAGTTATGGCCAGCCTCACATACAAACAACTTGGGTTACAACCAGGATTTTAGTTTTAATTTACAACTAAAGTCTTGAGTTATGACCCAAATGCCAGCCACTAGTGTGGTTGTAAGCAAAGACTCGTAATGCCAGAAAAGCATGTGTAAGCAGAAACTCTGAGTCCAAATGTGTTTGTAGATTTGATTTTGGTCAGTGCTTTATATATAATCACTACAATTACTGTTATAAAGATGGCCCCCCAAAAGCTAGAAAAGAAGCTAAGGAAGGTAAAGAAAGCAATCACCATTGAACAGAAAGAAAATGTGGAGAAATACAAAGAGTGGCATTTGTGTGAACAATATTGCTAATATGTACAGCATGTTGAAATCCACCATCTCGGCAAACTTACAGAGAAAAGATTTTTATAAGGAAGCTAGTGTTACCAAAGGAGTTACTCAAATTAATAAGTCTCAATCAATGGTGTTAGAGAAGGTAGAAAGGCTTTCATGTGAATAAACAAAAGGCACATGACAGATTATATAGCTTAAGTCTGTAATTTGTGAAAAAGCTAGGACTATAACTGCAGATCTTGTAAAAGACAATGGTTAAACGTTGCATGCCAGTAAAGGGTGATTTCACAATTTTAAAGTGAGAACTGGGGTTCATAGCATAAGTAGGCATGGTGAAACAGCCAGTGCTGATAAATGGGCTGCTGAAAATTACATACAATACTTTGAAACCATGGCACAGAGAAATATAGCTTTTGCTCTAAACGAGATTTCAACTGTGATGAAAGTGGCCTTTCCTGGGAAGAAAATGCCCAAGAAAACACATATTACCCAGAAAGAGAAGAAAATGACACACCACAAGTCTATGAAGGATAGACTAACTTTACTGCTATTTGCCAATGCAAGTGGTGACTTCAAGATAAAGCCTCTCTTGATTTATAACTCTGAGACTCCTAGAGTACTCAGAAAACATAAAATCATGAAGAATAGGCTAGGCGTCATGTGGAGATCTAACACAAAAGTTTGGGTAACAAGAGTACTTTTTGAGTGGATCAGGGAGGCTTTCATCCTACTGTTAAGAAATATCTAGAGGACAACAGTTTACCCCTCAAGGCTCTCCTCATCATGGACAATGCTCCTGCTCACCCACACTATTTGAAATAAGAATTGGCTGAAGAATTCCCATGGATCTCAATCCAGTTCCTTCTACCTAACAAATTCCTCTACTACAGCCTATGGATCAGCAGGTTATAGCAAACTTTAAGAAACTATACACCAAGGAACTAGTCCCAAATAAAAATTTAATCCTTAAAGAGTTCTGGAAGGCTGCCTGCCTTGCAAGCACAAGGTCCTGAGTTCAATCTAGGGGTAAAAAAAAAAAAAAAAAAAAAAAAAAAAAAAAGTTCTGGAAGGAATATTATGGCATCCTTTCCTGTACAGGGCTGAGAAATTCTGGGCCAATGTCTCTCTAAGGATTCTGAGATCTTCCTGGAAGAAAGTGTAGCCTAAAATTATATAGAAGAAAGAGACTTTGAAGGCTGTCTAAGGAGGCTAAGCCTTCAATTGACCTTGGGGCTAATGACATTTGTCACTATAGCAGAATCCATAGGCTTGCAGGTAGACAGTGGTGATGCTGAGGAACTGGTGGAGGAACACTCAGAGGAACTATCTAGAAAAGAACTTCAGAAACTTCCGGCTGACCAACAGAGAATGGCAGACAAAGAGCTTTCTGAAGAGGAGGGGAATATCAACAATCAGTGCACAGTAAAGTTACTCTTCTGAAATAAAGGAAATCCTGAAAAAATGGATCCTGAAAATATTTGTAGAGAACACTCACGTAGACAGAGAAAAAGTCAATCATTGCATTCACTCGATTAATGATAATGTCATGTCATACTACAGAACAGTGTTAAAGAAAAGACAGAAACAGACAACTAGTGAGTTTTTAGCTCCGAAAAGGTGAACTAGAACCACGTTCTAGTGGGCTATAGACACTCCCAAGGACAAAAAGGACATGAGAGCCAGATTCCTGATATTCTTATGGAAGGGGACTCTCATTCCAAATAACAACCTTCCATTTCATCTTCCCTTCCTATGAGCCAAAATGTCAACTAGCAATGGTGAGTACAGTATGAAATTGTTGTTTCTGGTGAACTAGGCACATTTTATAATTTTTGGTGAATACACCAGGAAAATTATTGGTGCTTCTGGTAAATTACACATATTATACAACCCTTTTTATTATGAAAAAGTCAATTCAGGGGTAAGTTAGGAAGTTTAGAATGCATTATGGTTATTTCCATTATTTCACATGCGAAAAATAGTCTTGACTTACAATCAACCAGCCCTTGGTAACAAATTGAATTTGTAAGTCAAGGGTACACTCTGTGTGTATCAGACAAATACATTCATTTCTATGTAAAATTGGTATTTTTCTTCAGTTTTTAAACTAATTTAAGTTAGCTAACAACTTCGCTTTTCCAAGAGTAAACTCTTCCTTCTTTTCCTTCTCACCAACTAACTGCAGAGGGTTAAAAATTATTAGTGATGCATTTAAATATGTTTCCCCCATATAATAATAAAGTGGAAATGACAAGATGGTAATCAGTGCTTACTCATAATGTCCAACAAGAGAACAGCAGTAATTTTTCAAGGCAAGTCTCAAAAGTTACTGATAATTGGGCTGGAGGTACAGTTCTGTGTGAGATGTTGGGTTCAATCCCCAGCACTACCAAACCAAACCAAACCCACAATAAGAAAACCCTACTTACACTTCTAAATGTTTGGAAGTGTGTTCAGTGTAATTTTCTTATTATTTAGCACAGGCTAAATATCAAAGATACTGAAAAAAAGTTAACTGATCCAGATCAAGTATTTTTTCCATTCTGTAAACTTATTTACCTTTATGCAAAATTTGCATTCTGATATATTAATAGAACTATATCTTAAAAGAAAGTGGGAAATATATTTTAAATTTTATGTTCTTGCTGTAGAAAAACTATTTAAAAGGCAGACCTTTTCATCCTTACTTTTCACATTGAACTGTATTATTCTGAAGTCTGACAGAATTCATTTTTAACAAAGTCAACAGAATTTTTTATACATGTGATATATTTGGTACATATTTAAGTACTGCTTCCTAAATTATCAGAATAGGTGTTAAACACTTGGGATACTCAGTTACAAATATATTACTATACACATACATACATACAACATATTCTAGATATATGGCTATAATATACCAGTCCATATAAACACACACACAAAATATAATCTCTGTCAAGGAAGAAAAAAATATATGCATAAATTTATGCAAAAATACAAGTTTATTTGTTTAGGGGATTAAAAAGACTGTTAAAAGTGCAACACTTGAACTACATTATGAAAGACAAAATTTTCTTGTATGCAGTGACAAGAAGAGGTACATTAAAAAGGGAAGAAAAATTCCAATGGAAAAACTGATTACAGGTAAAGTTTTAACAGAAGTTTATATAAAACATTAGGAAAATGCAGTATTTTTCAACAGAACATAAGATTTATTATTAGCAGGAATTAAATCCAGGAGAAAGAAAACTTGAGATAAAAACTTCAAAGAAAGGCATGAAGGGTGTTTGAATTTAATTACTAAGTAATAAGGGATAATAACAGGTATGATGGCACACTTGTAATCCCAGCACTCAAGAGGCTGAAGCAAGGAGGACAGCCTTGAGTTCAAGGCCAGCTGTACAGTGAGTTCAAGCCTGAGCTACATAGCAAGACCTTGTGTCAAAAACCAAATCAAAAGAAAAAAAGCACACATTGTTGGCTTTGGGACAAGATAAAGTTTACGAGCTGTACTGAAGATCATTAATGACAGATTTGCGTCACATGGACCAGAAACAACAGAGATTATAGGACCAAACTAAAAGGTCATTGCAATAACCTAGACAAGAAATACTAAATGATAAGACACACAGACAGACAGACAGACAGACTAAATGACCTAACTAGGATGGCTGTAGTAGAAATAAGGGCACAAGGCTAGAGATAGTGTGGTGAATAGCTGGCTCCGGCTGCCAAAGATCTCTATCTCTGTGTATTTCTTTCTGCCCTGGTGCAATTCTCTCCCTTCCATGTGTGTTGGATTTATGCTTTGTTTCTACTGAACAGAACATGGTAAAAGTGATGGGATGTCATTTCCATTTTATATTACATAGACTGTAATTTCTGCCTTGTGGGCAGACTTGGCTATGATGAGAAGATGGTTCTGGTGGGCAAAGGAGAAGAGAATAAACCAAAAAAATCTAAAAGTTTAAATTTAGATGCTATGAACATGTACTATTATTACTGGGAGTAAAAAAAAGCACTGGACTATTAAAGGTTATTAACAACCTTTGAGATCAAGGGGTTAAGGCACTGAACAGTCATAAACATTATTCTGCAATAAAGTAAGAAAAAATAAAAAATAGGAGACAGATGCTGAAACTATTAAGGAAAGTACTCCAGATGTGTGGACAAAGCAAAAAAGAAAAAAGTGAAGCAAAAAACAAAACAAAACAAAAAAGCAATATATTAGATAGGCAAGCACCTAATTCAGTATTTACCTCCATTTTATAGTCTAAGCTACATTAGCCAGATTAGTCTTTCCAGTATTCCAGCCTGTCAGTACTTTGATCTCAATCAACAGGCTTGAAACCAAGGGATCTTGACTTAGTGATTCCAAATAAAAGAAATTTTCTTTGCCTCACTTATACTATTGCCTTTAAGGTTCATGTAATTTAAAAACACCCTGAAAAAATTCTGCTTCCTTTAAAACTAAACCCAAGAAAGGAGTTTCAAATAAGCATTATTAGTCATTTTTCAAGTAAATAAGGATTAAATGTTTCTAAGATGCACAATGAACATGTAAATGGCAAAACAAAGTTTAAAAAAAAATCTTTAAAAATGTGTACTTTTTCTCATATTCTGCTTTTGAAATATGATAGTCCATAATGCTTGAAAAATGAGAAAGCCAAGTAAGAAACATTATAGCTAAGATCTGTAAGTGTCTTACCTCAGAAGCAGTAGCTGGGATATTAACATTGCTTGCCTGTCCGTTCATTAGGTCCATGCTTCCCTCATCAGTCCCTGACCCTATGTCAGCAGCAACAGAGGACTGATTACTTCATGTCCAGGGCCACAGATACATTATTTCTATTAAAAAAAATACACAAAAGTTAAAATGGTGTTTTCCTTGAAGTTTAAAAAAACAAATCTGTGTCTACCACCATGCTAAGACGTAAAATATTACAACTTTGTTAAACTATTTCTATTTCAGCTAAACTAAATCCAGACTGAAGACAATCTCTTCTCAAATGATGAGGAACATTGAATGGGCAGTGCAGTGGACCCTCAAGTTACAACTGGCCCGACATAAGAACAATTTGGGTTAATTAGATTAATGGAAGAGTCATCTGCTTCTTGTTATATACAGCATGTACCCAGGTAAATATCCAGATCTCAGCTGTACTGACTTACAACCAGTTTGAATTACAACCAGCTTCTGGGAGCTGATCAAGTTCGTAAGTCAAGGGTCCATTGTACTGAATAATTGTTATACTCTTCCTGAGAAGTAAAAGCATTATTTTCACTGATTGAGTGAATATTTTGAGAAAAAAATTAACTATGTAACTTTTTTAGTTTCGTAAAAAGTATAAAAACTATGCAACAAAGTAACACATGCCATGATAAATTTTTGGAGAGCCAAATGACACTTCTAAATCAACAATACTGAATAAGCTTATTGCTAGTGATCTGTTTAAGGTATGCAGATACTTAAAATATCACAATGTATGCTAATTTGTATAGGGCTTTAAAGTTTATTAATATTCTCACCATGATCTCATTGATTTTCATAATTACTAATAATATTAATTGGGAAAGATATTTTAAAACAAAATATAATAATGCTATTATTATTCCCATATAATACAAGAAATAGAACCTCTGGTAGGTAAGTGAGGAACTAAAAACAAGACTCAAACCATCTAAATTCTAGTCAAATATTCTTTCTATAACATCGTATGTCATCTGATAAAAAAAATACAGTGAATGCTGTGGCCAGGTACTATCTAACCAGAATCAAGGTATCAATACAGGAGGTGGTCCACTGAACTTTAGTACCGATGTGTGACAAATTTCAACTTGTTTAGTTCAGTCACTGTGTTGCGAGCTACAACTGAGAGAAGTTGTATTTTAAAGTGTGTGTAACTCATGGGTCACAAGTAAGAACATGAAATTTAATAAGCTTTATTGGAGTTTCCTGATCACATCTCTTCCAATTCCAGCTCCCCGCACCCCCACACACCAGGAATCAAACTCAGGGACTCATGCTTGCCAGGAAGACGCTGTGCTGCTAAGCTACATTCCTGGCCCAAATTGCAGCTTTTTTCTTTTTGGTACCGAAGATCGAACTTGGGACCTTGTGCTCGGGAGGCAGGCAGCAGAACCACTGAGCTAAATCCCTGGCCCCAAATTCCAGCTTAAGACTATATTTTTTAACCTTAATGAAACTGTGTGAACTGAGTTTGCAACCAGGAATACTATAACGAACTGTAATTATAGGGCTTATTATTTTTTTTTTAGGGTTTATTATTTAAGCAACAATGTGCACAGAAAACAGCCTAAGAACAGGTAAATGGTTTTATCCTCCATTATGATACCACGTCACACATCACTTTTATTTATTTATTTATTTTTCTTTTTGGTACTGGGGATCGAACCTAGGCCCTTGCAAGGCAGGCGGAGGAACCACTGAGCCAAACCCCCAGCCCATGCATCACTTTTAGTTCAGAAATTTCTATCAAATCAAAACATGGTATGTCCCAATTGAGCTCATTTACCAGATATAGCACCACACAACATCCAGCATCCAGCTCTCCCCATAGTCAAAATGACCACGGAAAAGCAAACATTTTTAATTGACTCCGGACATTGAGGCAGCCAGTCACAATAGCACAACTAAAGATACTCACAAAAGGGGACTTCCAGAACTGTCTCAGAAAGTGGCAAGAATCATGTGATAATTGTGTTCAAAGCAAGAGGAAGTATTTGAGAGGAGATTAATGGTAATAGGTCTTTTACTGTAATTTAAAAAAAATTAAAGTTATTCACCATATTTTTATGCCTATTTCTTCCCACTTTACTGGATGTAAGAATATTCAGTTTTAATCTTTGCCTAACTTGCCATAAGTATTAAAAAAAGGTAACTTCATCTCTTTCTAAAACAACTTCTCTTTAAAAGGTGGCAGGGGATGACTTTACGGTCCATTTTGACTTTAAAATTTTGATACTGCTTCTCATAAAAGAAATGCTATCTCTATAAATTAGGAATTCTACATTATACTAACTGTAAAAACTGAGTTTGAGATATCAGTATCAGTAATTCCTCTCATGCTGTTTCTTTTCTCTGTAGAAGCAAAGTAGTTCAGTGATTTAAAAGCAGACTCTAGAAGATTGCCTAGAGTTAAGCTCAAGAAACTTGAATTTTTCTGTCCTATTTCCAGACTTATAAAGCAGGTATAATACTAAGTGCCTTCTTAACACAGTTATGGTGGGGAGAAATGAGCTAATATACACACACACAAGTATTCAAACAGTACTGGGACATGATTAAGAGTACTATTATGGGGCCGAGGATTTAGCTCAGTGGTTTTGGCACCTGCCTTGCAAGCACAAGGACCTGAATTCAAACTCTGGTGCAAAAAAAAAAGGCACTATTATTTATTGTGATGTGGTGAAGAGACAGATTTTGTTACTGACTACTTAATCTTAGTGAACTTTAAATTCATTGGAGCCTTCTCAAAAGGAGGAAAGACAAAAAATCTTCGAAATGTAGCTCTAGGAAACACATGCTGTTATCACTAAAATCCTAATTATAAATGAAATGACTAAGAATGCCCCAAACCTGTTCCCTAGATGCTCAAGGATTTGAAATGCTTAAAAGTTATGATGGCAACTTTCAGTTATATCTTTAATTTATCTTCATTTCTTCCTAATCACCTGTGCTAGAAATTTTAAGGTAAAAAAATATATTTGAAGTAAAAGGATTTCAAAACCACTAGAATCCATTTAGAAAATTTATGTGAAAACGAATAAAGCACGGATATACCATAATTCCATCCAATACGTACTATCTCATTCTATTAGCTTATCTTTATGACACTACTATTAAAGATAAACTTGTATTTACACTTCTGTACAACTTTTTTATACTGCTGTAATTTTGTTTTTACACTGCTATAATTTCGTTTGTTTTCAGACAGGGTCTCACTATTACTTACGGGCTGGCCTTAAACTATGTAGTCCAGCTTGGCCTTGAACTAGTAGCAATTTTCCTGCCTCAGCTTCTGGAGTACTGGGAGATAATTCTAATTTTGACAATATCAGCCAGTTTTCAATGGAAGTTTTTGTTGTTGTTTTTAAAAATCAATATCTATTTTCTTTTCATTGAACAGGAATTTTTAACATATTACAGCTTTTCAGTGTTATTCTGTGATTTACTTTATCAGACTGTAAAATTGCCTTACCCATAGATTATCCACAAATTTAAAAAACTCCTGTGTTATTTTCAGTTAGAGGTTGTTGTCTATTGACTTATCTGAGAGAAAAAACAATGATCTCTGGGATTTGTTATAGAAGGGGGAAATAATATATTTCTGGTGATAAATTGTTTTTTTTTTTTCCATTAAGTTTATTGGTACATTTTGGGTGCACAACACAGTTACATTCATCATTGGGATTTGGATCTTGCGAAGGAATGTTTTGAAATCATTTCATTTCATTCCATATCGTATGCATAGACTAGGTATGACATGAATTCATAAATCAAGACTGCCCCCTAGTGTGAAGAAAAATATTTCAATTTTAATTATGAAAAGAATTTTATTTTTAACCCACTCTACATATTAAATATATAAATGTTATTACTATCGTTTACTGAAAATGAGGCAATAAAAGTTAGGAATAACATTAATACACTTCTATAATAAAAAAAAATCAAGGATCTTTTAAACAACCGTTCAAATATTCCACAAAGAGGTCATATTAAAATCCATTTTGTACAAACACAGCAAAACATAACCTTAAGAAAACATTCCTATAACTACCAGTAAATGTACTACAATCATAATAGCATTTAATATGAATTATAAGAGGTTCATATAGTATAAAAACATTACAAGTCCTGAGAGACATGAGTTTATTCTTTAGTGTCTCAAGATAATGATAAATATATGCTTTAACAGTTTATTTACTTTTCCTCATGCTATAAATGGCACAATCATTCATAATGACTACCAACACCACAAGAGCTTTATTATTAAATTCTCTGGTTTCTACTTACTCTTTTCAACTTCCAAAGATAGATAACTTACTCTAGCTGTCTCTTGAATTTAAATCCAAAAACAGGTATTTTGGTTCTTGCCAAGCAATATATTCCCCCAAACAGGAAATCTTGATCTAGTTCCTTGTCAGGGTTCACAGAACTCAATTATCAGAGTGTAGGTACATACAGCATCCTAACTGCTCACCTTCTCAATGGTATTCCCCAGAAGAAAATCAATTCTTTTAAAATAAATGAATAAAGATTTAAAGTTAAGGCAACAATGCCTCGCTAATTAACCTGATTTCACAGTACCTGTTGCATATTCTTTTTCAAAATAATTTATCATCACAATTATGCTAATTTTTAAAAACATAAAACATACTTTTAAAAAACATACTCTAGTTTTAAAAAACATACTCAGAGTTAAGCGAAACTGCTTACTATAAGGAAATTGGTAATACAATGCAATTTTCTTTGGAACATTTGGAACAATACAGAATTGACATATGCTCCCGGCCTGGAAACTCATCTTATCAAAACTTTGGATAGCTGGGCATCATGGTGTATGACTGTAATCCCTGCACTCTGGGAGGGCGGCAAGTTTGAGCCCAGCCTGGGTAACAAAGTGCTTTAGCAAGACCTCTCACAATAAAAAAATAAAAAGAACTAGAGCCATAGCTTGTTTACTCACCAAGGCTCTGGGTTCAGTTTCCAGTACCACCAAAAGAAAAAAAATATCAGGAGAGGGATGCAAGCTTAGTAGTAGGGTGTCTGTGTAGCATGTGCAAGGCCTTACATTAGATTTCATGCAGTTAGCACTACCCCACCA